CGAGCTCTCTGGCCCGGCCTCTCTGGCCCGGACTATCTGTCGCCATCTGGCCGGCCGAGGCCCTTGCAGGTTTTAGAAGATGGCAGAGCTCCTGACACCCGCGATGCAGGACAACCCCTCAGGATGGGGTCCCTGTGCGGTGCCTGAGCAGTTTCGGGATATGCCCTGCCGGCCATTCGGCAAAGGAGATCGGCCAGGAAAGGCTGCAGACTGACGGGTACCCCAGACCGAGATAAGGGGTGCGCGAACAAGTCCTCCTCTCCCTTGGGCGGCGGAAGCCAGCGCGCTTGCTTCCACGAGGAGGACGGGACGAGCTCCCGGCTGGTGGACGCCGCGCCGCAGAGACCGCCCGCCAGCGGAGCCTCCGCGGAGACAAAGATGGACGGGACATGTTGCAGTTCAATCTGCAGACCCTGCCTGAGCGCGCCGAGCAGAAAGAGAGAGGGCGCATACGACTGAGAAAGAATTTCAGAAACAACTTGGAGTGAGGCAGAAATGGGACCAGAGATCACAGAAACCCCGAGACCCCTCGGTTGAAGTTCGTAGTGACTGGGAGGTGAAGGAAGAAATGGACTCTCCTCAGTCAGTGAAGATGCGCTGCTTGGAAGGCTCAGCGCCCAGGACACTGAGTGTTGTGGGCCCTGGAATGCTGGGACTAAGCCTTTCAGCGCATCACCGCGAGGAGCGAGAAGCCCCTGCGGAGCGTCCAGCGCATCCTCCACACCGTCACCGCCGCAGACCCTGGCATCCGAAAGCTGGCAAAAACCCAGGGGAATGTGTTTGCCACTGACGCCATTCTGGCCACACCCGCTCCGTCTATTCCTGGGACACTGTCGCCCAGAGAGTCGGTTCCAAGCTCTTCTTTGACAAGAGGGATAACTCTGACTTTGACCTCCTGGCAGTGAGTGAGACGGCCAATGAGCCCCCTCAGGGTGAAGGTAATTCCTTCAACTCGCCCCGTAACCTGGCATGGAAGCAACCTACGTCAACCACAACTTCTCCCAGCAGTGCCTGAGGATGGGGAAAGAAAGATACAACTTCCCCAACCCAAACCCATTTGTGGAGGACGACATGGATAAGAATGAAATCGCCTCTGTCGCATACCGGTGTCGCAGGTGGAAGCTTGGAGATGACATTGACCTGATTGTCCATTGTGAGCATGATGGTGTCATGACGGGAGCCAATGGGGAAGTGTCCTTTATCAACATCAAGACCCTCAAGGAGTGGGACTCCAGGCACTGTAATGGCGTTGACTGGCGTCAGAAGCTGGACTCTCAGCGAGGGGCTGTCATTGCCACTGAGCTGAAGAACAACAGCTACAAGTTGACCCGATGGACCTGCTGCGCTTTGCTGGCTGGATCCGAGTACCTCAAGCTCAGTTACGTGTCCCGGTACCATGTGAAAGACTCCTCGGGCCACATCATCCTGGGCACCCAGCAGTTCAATCCCAATTAGTTTGCCAGCCAGATCAACCTGAGCATAGAGAACGCCTGGGGCATCCTGCACTGCATCATCGACATCTGCATGAAGCTGGAGGAGGGCAAGTACCTTATCCTCAAAGACCCCAACAAGCAGGTCGTCTGCGTCTACAGCCTGCCCAACGGCACCTTCAGCTCCCAGGAGGAGGAGGAGGAGGAAGAAGAAGAGGAAGAGACTTAAGCCAGACAGTGATGTGGAGCTGGAGTTTGTAAATCCACCATGCCTAGGGGAGGGCCTTTGATGCCTAGTGGAATGCTTGTTCCATACTTGCTCTCTGGAGTTTCACAGATGGAACAAAGTATAAGTCCCTTTAGTCTCTTAAAAAAAAAAAAAAAAAAAAAAAAAGAGGAGGATTCTCAGGGCCTCTCAACCATTTTGCTAATAACACCGGTATTTGATTTAGTCACATATACTATCAGTTTCCCACAGAGAAGATTCTTTAGCATTTGCTTTACTGCAGATAGATTCAGAAGTGGAATTAGTATCTGGTTGCTTACCTGGCTCGTGATTGAGGCACTTGCGGAGTGTCTAGGTCATGAACCAGAGGGGATGCTCTTCTGTCTGTCCTGTGACTCACTGGAGTGGCCTTTCCTGGGCAGGTCAGTGTGCACGTGGTTTCTTTCCCACATCAGAGGTCAGTGCTGCACTCCTGGCCTGGACCTGGGGGTGTTGTGTTGGCATTTCCCATTTTGTAATGCCTAATGGTTAAGGACCGTGCTCTTTTTTTTATTTTTTAGTAAGTCAGGTATTTGAAATGTGAGGAGGAGCTTCCTGCAGAGCAGACAGAGTGAGAGGTTGTGAGTGGCTATGGGCAGGCACCGTGGAGGGGGTGCCAGCGCCACGGGAGGACGCTGCCCGCTCCATCCCGGGTTACTGTGCTTCCGTCACTGTGGCATTTGTAGCATCTTTCAGAAGGTGTCACTGTGGAGGCGGCGCCGGCGCCTGGGCTGGCACCTAACAAACAGACCAGACAGGCTCTGGTTCCTCAGGCTCCTGGACACACCCTGAACCTCTTCTGTTTGGCAGCGGGATCCTGCCTTTTGCTCTCACTAGTCTCTTCCCTCAGGTTCTTGGTACCTGGTGGGGAATGGCTTTCCCCTTCCTCGGGGCTTCTAGCTTCTAGTGAAGGTTTGACAGTACCTGTGATGTAGTTGGACATGAGTTCTGCTCTTAGGCTTGGGAAATTCTAATAGTGCGATACCAACAGCCATCTTGGACCTCCCCCCCCAGACTCATGTTTCTTCATACTGGTGTTTTGAGGGTAAACATGAGTGCCAGCGGGTCCTGGGCCACCCGGGCACACTGTGCTTTTCCAAACTGACCCACCAGGCCAGGCCTACATATTTTATTATGATGATATTGTGGCTGATTATTGTGCTTTTGAAGACATTATCTTCGTAAATGTGATATGAGAGATTCTATTTAGAAAAACACCCCAGATCTCAGAGCAGCACAGCTCAGAATGCAGATCTGAGTGCACACGTTTGAGGCGACTTCCTAAATCTTTACCCTCCAGCTTGTGTCCTGCTGTCATAGCCATTCGAGAGTTTTAACCCTGGACTGCTACTCTGCAGGATAGACAGTGTGAATTGTGTCCTAGTCTGGGAGGCCAGACTTCAGTGTCTGGAATTGCTGTCTGGAGTGGGGTGGGTGGCGTCTGTCACATGGTTTTCGAATGCTTTTTGCTGTAGAGCTTGAGCTCCAAGCCCTTGGTGCATGAAGGAAATACAGAAAAAGAACAGTGATAGCTAACTCCTACCCCTTTTATCAGTGTCCAGCCACTGTGCCAACCACTCTGACCGTTGCTTCGTTCACTTCTGTGGCGTGTCCACCACCTGCAGGTATGGAGTCGTGGGTGCAGTGAGAGGTTGCTGGGTGATAAGCCGTAACCAGCTGGGTGGATGTGCTGTGGGGTCTTCATAGCACGGGAGGTGATAGGGTGCTTTGTTCCCTCAGCTTAATCTGTTGAGGGAATAAACATGGAAAACCCTTAAGTTCCCACATATTAATAAATAGGAAATCGTGGAACTTTGCATGGGAAATGTTCTTCGTGGACTTGCGTGCACATTGGGGGGGGATAGCTCCATGTTACTGGAATGTCAGGTAAAAACAGCTCCCAGGGAAATGGCCAGTCCTGTAGTGCACCAGGCTGGTTGCATCATTCTGAGCTGAACTCATGGTCCAGAGTTGTAGCCATGGCCTCTCCCCTGGCCAGGCATCCGTCACCATGTGGACACTCAAATGGAGGGGAGCTTCCCACCAGTGAGTTGGTTCATTCAAGGGGGAGTTCAGTACTTATTTATACTTGTTCCTTTCCCTGAATGGTTGGTATGTCCACTATCTGAGCATCTCCACGTGCTCTCATTTCAGGTTCTCTCCAAAGTACCTGGACTTATTTCAATCCTCAGCTCTACTGATTGCTCTGAACTCTCACGAAAGACTAGTCCCATCTCTCCTGGGGTCCACATCCTCTCTGCATCTGCTTCTGGGTCCCTCATACTGAGCACTTGTTAGAAGTGCAGCATCAACCTCACCCAAGACCCCCTGAGTCAGAATCTGCATTTTAGCAAGACCCACAGGTGGTGGGTCGCATGTCAACGATGGAGTACTTCTTCTGATGACAAACACAGTAAAAACCAGCTGAGCCTCTAGAAGCAGCACAGGGCCGAGGGCTTCTAGATTCAGGTAAATCAGGTGGATGACCAGTGCCTGGAAATGGGTGTCATCAAACTTCTGTGAGCCACAGGTTCCTCTGAGCCCGTTTCCCTCACCTGTGTGTGGGTCATCTGTATGTCTCAGGGCTGTCGTGGGAGTTACCTGAATTAATGCAGGACTGGCCTGTGCTGCAGTTTGGTAAACACACATTCCTCTCTCTTCCCCAGGCACCTGAGTAGCGCTGCTTTCTCCCTGTCTGTACCTTCTGTCATCTCGTATTCTCATTCCCAAGCTGTCTTTAATTAGTGCATTAATGTAAATGTACTAAATTTATTTAGCTAGCCTCCAGCCTTCCTACCCAAGAGTGTAGTTTGCATGCTTGGTTCCCCGGTGAGACAGAGATGAAGCCTGGTTTCGTGAGGCACGCGCCTGTCACAAGTGCATTCCTTGCCATGTGCCGCACATTTGGAAAACACAGAATGGCTTTGGCCTTGTAGATTACATAAGCAACAAAATACCTCATTATTTTTATTGTAGCCACGCTGAACATGAGTTAATATTCAGATGTACTCATTATATGAAAATAATGAGTTTTTTTTTGTTTTGTTTTTTTTTTTTAGTAAATGACTTTGTAAATGTAACAATGGAGTGTTCACTGGAAATTAATGAGCACCTGGAGGGATAGTTGGGTGGTAATTGTGAGAGAATGGACTCGCCTGTGTCAGGTGCTGTAAGCTGTTAGGTGCCCCTGTGACCCTAAGAGGAAGAAAGCAAATGTGCATGATGATGGTTTTAAATGCCGATTAAAGCTGCACTTTCCCAGGTGATACATTCAGGTTAACCCAGAAGACTGGCTTTCTGCTTCCATGTATCCATGTCTCCTCACCTCCATTGCCTTCTGCGACCATGCCAGGGTCTGCCAGGTACACTTACATGCCCCTCTCCCTCTGATTCTAACTAAAAGGGTCAGTGAATATATTTGTTCTCTTTGTACTCTGTTGAGTGTCCTGTTTCTTGGAGGTTGAAATGTCAAAATATAAGTGGTTAGATGTTTTTGGGAATTTACCACTTAGAATCTGTTAAAGTGAGATACTTTGTTAAAAAATGATAATGGTACCTGCCATTTATTGTCTCTTTAGTGCCTTTGGCACGTCAGTCACTGTGTAGGGTACTTTATGTCTCCACATGGTTTAGGGATTTGCACGTTGCCTAGATCAACTGACCTGCACTGGGCAGACTGGGAGGGGGTTTGGCAGCCACTAATTCTACCCTCCCTGCTCTGGCTCCTGCTGCGGGTACCACTTACCTTCCTCTCCTGCTGGAGTTTCTCCTATAACTTTGCTGAATTCGCTGATTGGAAACCGGGTTTCAGTGACTGACCTAACAGATCGTCTCTCTGTACATGTTTCAGCAAAACCAGGGGCATTTCAGTCATGGTCAGGGCTGAGGGGTGGCAGCAAAGACGGCTTTTCTGGCCCATTGGAACCCTGAAGTTTTGTTATTGACCCATTTTCCTGTGTTGGTTTTGGAATGAGGTGTGTACTGCCTATTAGCATCTGTTCCATTCTTGATGATACTTAATGTCTAGGAATATGTCAGATAATTCATTGCTGCTTTTGATGACCGAGACAGTGTGTGAGAGGGCTGACGTCACCTCTGGGGTCAGTATTGACAGTGAGAAAACTGTCAATTGATTGCCTTGAATGGCAGACACTGCCCCCCCCCCC